TCACCGGCATCCGCATCGTCATCGTCATCATCACTGATGACGTCACCGGCATCCACATCGTCATCGTCATCATCACTGATGACGTCACCGGCATCCACATCGTCATCGTCACTGATGACGTCATCATCATTGATGTCATCATCCCTGATGACGTCACCGGCATCCACATCGTCATCGTCATCATCACTGATGACGTCACCGGCATCCGCATCGTCATCGTCATCACTGATGATGACATCAGTGATGATGACGATGACGATGTGGATGCCGGTGACGTCATCAGTGTCGATGACGTCATCGGGGGGTCACGCGACATCGGCGGGGGTCACGTGACCTCGGGGGGTCACGTGACCTCGAGGAGGGGGTCACGTGACCTCGAGGAGGGGGTCACGTGACCTCAGGGGAGTCACGTGACTTCGGGGGATCACGTGACCTCGGGGGGGTCACGTGCCTCCCCACGAAGTCACGTGACCCCGGTGGGGGGCTCGCGCGGTGCATTATGGGATATTTCCCATGATGCACCGCGCGGTTACGCCGACGCCGACGCCGACGGCGACGGCGACGGCGACGCCGCTCAAGCCGGAAACGGGCCCCTAAGAGCTGCGCTCTAAAAAAGCCCGTGCGTCTACTTTCCCGCACAGCACTCGGAGAGCCGATCACTGCAACTTACGGAGGCAGCTCAGCGAACGACGATGCCGAAACATATGTTTAGACAAAAAAAAAACAAAAAAAAGCGCAGTTTGAGTTGTGACATTAGGCAATGGAAGCGTGACGTTTTTGCATCGCTTAATGCCAAGACAAGACAGGATTTGAAAGCTTGTCTTGCCCACCGCCCTTCCTGTATTTGGCAGAGGCGTCGTTCGAAGCCCAGCTTGGCCCGGGCCTCTCTGGCATTAAAATTGGACCACCCCATGTCCCCCTGCACTTCCTCGTTAGGTTCCTCGGCTGGCTCCCGGTGCCGCCCGTCCCAGTTCTTTCTGGCGCACCTCTAGGCACTCACGCGTGCGGGACGACAGACACAGGACTCCATTGCCAAGACCCGGCACTGCCACCATCCTCCACACCGTCCGGGAGATCTCGAACCGGTTGTAACCCCAGAGGGCTCTGGCAGCCGATATCCGCCTGGACCTCCTGCTCTTAGCCTTGAGCCTGGTCTCATGGTCTTCGAGGTAGTTGTGGCTCTCTTGAATGTGGATCCCCAGGTACTTGTATTGTAATACCCACGGTACTTGTTCCACCCAGATTTTAAGGTCATGTCTACTCTGTACCCAAATCCCATCAATGCCGACTTCTTAGCACGGAAACTCCGTCCTAATGCAGCCCCATTGTTTTGCACTCGTTCATAAGGACCTGCAGGCCCTCCATGGAGTCTACCATCAGGACGATATCGTCGGTATAGATTCGCCCAGGGATCTTTCCTCCCCTAGTGGTTCCCGCCTCCGTATATTCCAGGGCAAAGCCCTCGGCGCAGACCTGCAGTCTCTTTTCGAAGCCCGCTATGTAGAGCATAAACAGCAGAGGCGACAGTGGGCATCCCTGTCTCAGACCCTTGGTGATGGCTACTGGATGAGTCATCTCTTCTTGCCACTGCGCCACCACAGTCGTCTCCTTGTAGATTTCCTTCAGCAGGTTGATCCACTCCCCCCGAGCCTCCGCTTTGCCAGCTGCCTCCACAGCTTCCCATGGTCGACCGAGGCAATGGCGACGGCCAATGTTGCTTGATGGGGTATCCCAAAGGGTCTATAACTTCTCTCTTACCAGTTCCAAACACAAAGGAAACAAAACCGAACACATCACATGGTATGCGTAACCCTGTCTTGTTATACACCAACTCATGTCTACAAACAAACCGGAGCGCCCCTAGCGGACGCCACCGGCGCCGCGCATGCGCGATGGAGTGTGGGTAACAAGGTCGGCGTCGCCCATAAGCAAACCATTGAAATGCGATGCTGTCGGCGTCGGTGTGAGTCCCCCTGCCCTCTTTCGCGTTCGAATTGTTGATTCTATGTCTTCCTGGCAATGTCTGACTACTTGAGCGACCTCAGCGAAATTACCGAGGCTCGTTACACCGCCAAACTTCGCGTGAATAATGTGACATACGGCGATTCATTCCGCTTGGACGCCGCAGAATGGACGCTAAAGCCTGATTCGCATGAGATTCCGCTCGCAATTTTCAGTAGCGATGTCGCTCGGGCAGAAAAAAAAACGTGAACCGTAGCCGAGATGGTCCACGTCGATACTGAAAATTTCAAGCAGAATCGGACCAAGTGAATTAGGCATAACAAGTCGGTGATGGCCACTGGTAACAATGATCAACATCTTGTATCTACGGCTTACATCAAGCCTGCTTACCAACCTCCGAACTTTCCTTGACAAGATAACACAATCTTTCAGCCTTTCCACTCTGGTGAAGGAAGACTGCAGCGAAGCTGTACTATGGTGGGACGACCTCAAGAACGACTTCTAGGACGACCTCAAGGACGATGCCTAAAAGACGACCTCAGGGGCGACGTCTAGGACGACCTCAAGGACGTCTAAAACGACCCCAAGGACGACGTTTAAGGCGACCTCAAGAACGACTTTTTGGACGACCTTAAGGACAACGTCTAGGACGACCTCGAATGACCTCAATGATGACTTTTAGGAAGCTCTCGAGGACAATCTCTCGGACGACCTCAAGGATGGCGTCTAGGACGATCTCTAGGAAAACTTCTAAGACGACCTCGAGGATGACGCTTAGAGAAAGTCAGCCTTTCCACTCTGGTGAAAACCAGAGTGGAAAGGCTGTAAGGGTTGCCGCCATTTATGAGCGACGGCGGTAACCAGACAACCGGCAAGCCGGTTGCTTCCGTCGCTCATAGATGGCGATTGCTGTCCAGAGTTTTGTGTCGACATTGATTTGGTGGCAGGCACGAAACTGGGGAACTAGCCCTTAACAGCTCCGCTCTAAAAAAAAAAAAAAAAGAAACCGCCCGAGTCGGGAACAAAACTCACCGCCGCACCCCCCTCGAGAGGGGACATCTCTCGCGGTTCTTGATTAGCGGGGTCCGCTAATCAGGAACTCCGCTTTGGGTGCCTCGGGTACCACTGACCCTAGTGACGCCACTAACTAGACTGCCCTAAACGTTTTTTTTTCTCCAACTATGAATTGAAGTAACGTATACCTTCGAAAAGCACTCGGGTAAATTTTCTTGACTGTTTTCTATACGAACTGGCCGCCACTTGGTGAACCGAATGAAAAACCTCTGTTAATTTTGTAACAATGTCATTGATCTGTTTTATCGTCTCCTGCTGCACCCTTGCCTCAAGGTGGCGCTGAAATTGTAACACAAATAAATAATTAAACGCATCTCTTCCTTCTTCTCAGTGAGTGAATCGCTGCAGGGCAATGATATGTGCGCAATCTGCTGCTTGACAAAAAAAAAAGTTATTATTTGTTGCACGTTAATGGTGCTTTGAAAAACAACGGGCGCGTACATACGTCTATTAGATTACGTAAAAATCAAGTCTCTATGTTGTTGGCTTTCTATTCTGGACATACTTTCCCCTAGTGCGGTGTACAAGTTCGGCCAGTGTAGTGTTTTAGGAACCACTAACACACGGATCTCACCAAGCGTTCGGCGCAAGCGTGAAGCCGCATAACATTAGTTCACTGGAAGTAGGCGGCAGTGCTTGAGACGTTTCGTACTGTACACGCGCAGAGCACCTGCAGAATGACGTAATTTCTTTCGATGCATTGCGGAAGCGGTGGCGTAACCAAACTGGCTGCTGAGGTCGGTTTGTTGTAGAGGATTGCATTAATAAAGTAGTCTTAAATAGGGTACCTTGCTGGGCTGGTTGGTTGTACGACATAGTGAAAAACAGCGCAACTTGCCTGTGGACCAGATCACTGCAGCAGTGTAGCGTCAGTGTATCTGACGAACAGGGAACTACAATCTCTCAATTATGACCGTCCTTAGCAAAGTGTCACACGCAATCCGTAAAGGTAAAAAAAAATATATATATATATATATATGCCCCGAACGTGGTGCGAATGCACTTGTAAAAGATAAAAAAAAAAACATATTTTTTTTTACTATGTCTTCTTATTACGCGTTTTGCAACGTCCTAATCGTGGTGCGAAAGCATCCTTCGGGCCTAGTGTTTTCTTGTGCCGTTGTAGATTTTTATTTTCTTGGAAGTTTTAGCGAACCTTCGGTTGTTAGTCAGCGTGTATGTCCTGTGTCCGTCTTCTACTTTGTGTCCCGTCTTTTTTACGCTGTTTTTTAATATGTAGTCTCAAATACTTCTTCCCCAACATTTTGGGATGTCGGAAGTTCTCAGCAAAATAAGCGAAATATTGTAAAACATTGTATTCATAAAAAAAAAAAAACTGCATAGATCATTATAGATGGCAATGTCACTATGTTAGCGTAATAATAATATAATACTAAGTTTACATTTTATTCCTAAACCCATTAATATTCTTCGTACTAAGTACGACGCTCCTTTGACGAAAACGAAAACGCTCGTTTCGACGAAAACCCGGCGGTGTCTGTCAGTTTGTCAGCGCGAGGGAGAGGGTGACGCGTGTGACGTCAGCGCTTCGGACCAATGGGAGCGTCGCACACGTCACCCTCTCCCCTTCATTCTCCCTCTCTACCCCGGCGCCGACAAACGAAAGACACCGCCTTGTTTTCGTCCAAATGAGCGTTCTAATGCTAACGCATTAAAAACGAACTTAACATGCTAGACGCCAGTCACGTATTACTACGGTCAGTAACACCCCCAATTAGACTAGACACTTCCGTTGCCCTCGAGATTCCCGGAACAACATATTTTCCCCGTCTTCCACCGCACGATGATGCGGCGCTTCCGTGACCCATTGAGCTGGTTGACCGGCAATTCGAGGCATCGATACGCCGACACCGAGGGAAGCGCCGCTTGGCGAACGCATTTCCCGGGTGCAACGCCGGGCTTTCGATCGCCCCACGAGGCCTACAAGAGGAGACAGAGCTCACCGAAGTTGAGGTAGGCGGCGGCGCCGAGGTGCGCGCTCCTGCTGCGGCAGGCGGGCCTGTCGCAGGTGCCGCACACGTAAGCCGCCACCTCCCAGCACATGCCGAAGTTCTGCCGGCCCCAGGTGTACACCGTCTGGATCCTCAGCACCACCTGAAAGGGCGCGACCTTCTCCAGTCTGCTTTCGCGTCACCTGGCTGGGTGCGAATCAGAGCGCTTGGAGCGAGGCCCGCGACAATCTCTTGTCACCGGAATGCACCCGGGAGGCACGTATTATCGGGAACGAGCCCCTTAAGCGCGATCCAAACCAACGCTTCTTTTTGCGCCTGTAGGTCGTGCGGCTGCGGATGTGACGTATTTTCGTGACGTCGCGCCGCTTCTTCGCTCCTTCCGGGCGCGCACAAGAAAGTTGGTTGATTTCAACTTCTTTCTCAACGCGCACAAAAACGCGCGGTGACGTAGTAGGGCGCTCCTGTGTCCCGTCCAATCGGTGGAGGGCAAGCTAGTTCCGGCTCCGCGTTTCTCGCCGTCTGGCTGCCCTCTCCTCCCTCCCTTTTATTCTCTTCCAACATGACAACGCGATCTCTCTCTCTCTCTTTCTCTCGCCGTCTGGCCGGCCAGTCTGTCGCAGTTGCACTTTGCTTGTGCGCTCGTGCCTGCGTGCGCGCGTGCGCGCTCGCCCGAAGTTTTGCCCGTCCAAACCAAAGCGCACGGTTCTGACTCAGAAAGCGCGCCCGGAAACAGCAAAAACGCCACGAAATGCGTCACATCCGCAGCCGCACGACCTACAGGCGCAAAAAGAAGCGTTGGCTTCTTTCGCGCCTGTCTTTGGCTGCGTTTATATGGATACACATCGAATCGAGTTTTGAATCGTCCCACGCAAACGCCTCGATTCGCTAACCAATCGCATCGAATCGAGTCCGATCCGATCCATTTGAAGAGGTTGGTTTAAGATTTTCAAGCCGAATAGAGACCCCCATGTAAACTCTAGCGAATCGAATCGAGTGTCTGAAGGAGGGGGGAGGGGGAGAGGGAGGGAGGGGGAAAGGCTAAGATGACCTTCAAAATTTGCTCCCCTCCCCCTTTCCGTTTTTGTGCCACCGTCCAGACCGCGTAGTCACCGATGGATTCCACTAATCCCCCCCCCCCCCCCGGACAGGTCACGTGGGGTGCGCTGTAATGATTGAACGGGAGGTGTCGCCACCGGTCGATTCTAATTCATGTAAACGCAGTGGTTAAAGTAAATTCAGCGCGCTAACTTAATTCGATGCGCAACTGTCGCATCCATGTAAACGTAGCCTTTGAGCAAGCTGTGCTTTCAACTAGGGATGGAGAGGGAAGTTGAGGTCCTTTTGACAAATAGACAGGTAATAGAGCTTGTGGGGACCGCAGGCGCAGAAAATGGCAGAAAATGGCAGAAAATGGTCGGACCGGGTTTTTCACCTAATTTTGTTTGCGGGAATATGTCGCCCCGATGCTATTCCTCAAGTTCGAGTTTATTTTTCTTCAATGACATTCGTGGGATGTTTTACGTGAGGGAGGGGGGGGGGGGGGGGGGGGGAGCGTTCCAGTCAGTGATGCACGAAAGAAAGGGGGGGGGGGGGGATCTATGTCGATTAGTCCGTGATTGCGATGGCTCAATTTTGAGGATATGATCACACCGCTGAGATATGTAAGACGTCTGATGACAATAGATACAGCTTATATGGGAGAGTTTATAATACTGGTTATGAAAGAAGCACAGTCGACAAAATTGTCTACGTGTTAACTACGTCCAAATATTTATTTCTGATTTGAGGTGTGACACGCTTGAAAGGTGCGAGTAGTTCTGGTGGATCAAATGTGCGGCTTTGTTTTATATGAATCCAAGACTGTCTGGCAAATAGTCTGATTGGGGTTCCAAGATGTACTTCCATATTTTAACTGTGAGCGAACGAGAGTTTAATAAGCTAAACGTTGGGTGGGATTAGAAGCCTGATGCAGATTTCGTCTTAAAAATCCCCGGGTGCCCGCGGATTTTGTTTGCGTATGTTTTGAATACGCAAGTTCCAAGTTAAGTCTTCAGTGAGTGTTATTCCTAGGTATTTGGAAAATTGTACATGTTTTATGTTAATTGAGTTTAGTCTATAGTTTGTACTGTAACGACCGGATTAATGAGTTTTGTTGTAGAGGCGTTAATATTCATTTGCCACATTCTGCATTTTGTTGTATAAAACTTGAATACCCCCCCCCCCCTTATGTAATGCCCTTCACGGGCCCTTAAGGTGTAAATAAATGAATGAAATGAATCGGAAATGTTATGATCAACTTGTAAAGAGAACAAGCTATCGGTATTATTACTAGAGCGATAAATGACATAATCTTTAGCAAAGAGGCGCACATATATGAGGTAACAGAGAATGGTAAATCTTTTAATAACGTAAGGAAAAGAAGGGGGCCTAGAACACTACCCTGGGGACCCCTGATTTAACTGAAGTGACAAAGAGACAACATTGTTAGTACGGACAAGTTTCACACGGTTCGTGAGAAATGAAGTTATTTAATTGATGATGTGGTCTTTAATTTGGAGTCGAGGGTTTCAGGAGCAAGCGCTGGTGAGGTACCGTGTCAAATGCTTTAGCGAAGTTTATGAAAATGACGTGAATAGTGAGTGATTTCTTAAAATTTTCTTGAAGGTCAGATACAAATCCAAAGAATATGGGTTCGTATGGGAGGTTTGTTTTCGGAATCTAAGTTGATTAGAATGCAGAATGTAATTTTGAACAAGGTCGTTAATAATAATAATCATAATCATAATAATATTATCAATCAATCAATCAATCAATTTTTATTACAATGTTCACGAACAACCTCGCGGTCTTGGTGCTGGCACAATTAAACACACAAAAAATGAAAGACGTTTACAATTCTCTGTAATGCCGAATTAAAGCCCAGCTCTTAAGGAGGAGGAGCAGAGGGTACGGAGAGGAGGGTCACGCATGCCGTTACGAGGGTAAAATTAAATTTCCCGACAATTTTAGCGGGAAAATTTTACCCTCGTGACGTCACGAGGGTAAAATTTCCCCGCTAAATTTAGCGAAAAAAGTTTCACGGGTTGAGTGTCGTCACGTGTGACGCCACGAAGGTAAAATTTCCCAGCTAATTTAGCGGGAAGGTTTTTCCCCTCGTTACGGCACAAGTGACGTCACGTGTGATGTCAATATGTGAAACGTCCCAGAATGCGGCGCGCGGTTGGTTACGGCGACGGTGGCGCCGCTCAAGCTGGAAACGGGCACCTAAGTGCTGCGCTCTAAAACAGAACTTTACACAAGACCCAACAAACGCAGTGGGGTAACAAAGTTAGGAATTCTGCGGGTGAGAATGATGTGTCCAAAAGAAATTCGAAGCGTGCAAAGTATATGCGAAGCAGCGGGACATCTGCAACGACCACATATTGTGAGAACAATTTGACACAGTCGGACATTCAGCACCTTTCAGTCACGCTCAAGCATGAACAGGTTTAAAATAAATTGATCGAAATCCCTATAGCACGAGTCAAATATATCAAGTGCTTCCGAGTGACGATTATAACATTCAGCCAACCTGAGGATTGGGACTAGTTGATTAAGAGCTCGAGAAATAAAGATGACTGAAGACGTCTGGGTACGCGTGGAACCCTAAGACTTACTTGAGACAAGAGGTATGGTGAATAATTTAGGCCATGCATGACCTTAAATAAAAAGAACAAATCTGCTTTCTCCCGACACCGGTTCATGCTGAGAAATGTAAAGAAGTTTTAGCGCATCTTCGTAATTCTTACGAGGTACATCCTTCTTCAGATACAAACGCTCCGTAATAGAAATAAACTTCCTTTGAACTCACTCAATGCCAACAGAATTGGATCAGGAAATTCCATTCCACACAAGCAATAATAGTAATGATAATAGCAATAATAACCAGAGTTTAGGACGGAAACACCAGTCGCGTTGCATGGCACGTCGTCTACCTGGTCTACCTGTGGGCTGAATGGCTGCCAGTCCAGGGGCAGACCTTCGCCGAGCGTAGGTTACCTCCGAGATGGTGAGGTGGCGTTGAGGGTCCGCGATGTGGAAAGTCCAGGCAATGTCCGCGTAGCGGTCCCGGGGCACGACCAGCCGGTTGCCCAGCATCAGGGTGCTGTCGGGGACGAGCGTGATGCGCCGGGCCCAGTTCTTGAACTTGCCCTGCGCCGGACACACTGTGATGGAGAATGACGGGCTCCGACATCCAAGAAGGACCCGACGATGCCCGTCCTCTTGACCCATTCGTCGACGTACGGAACGGCCGGTGTGTGCCGCCGCCACTGCGCTCTTTGCCTGGGAAAGGCGTTCGCCCCGAGAGCTACGCGGCACGTGGGGGAGCATGTGCTCCGAGATTGCCGGTGTCTGAAACACAGGCAATCTCGGAGAGCTCCTACAAACGAATGAGAACTAGTGAGAACAGACGGAAAACAAAGTCTAGGTCGGTGTTGTGTTTTGTGAATGTTAGTTACGTAAAGCCTAGTTCACATGCAGCGGTTTTGTCCCTAGAGCGGCGCGATTTCTGCCGTCGCGGCGGTCTGGCCAGCACCAGCGATTGAGCGGCACGAGCGCCGCGACGGCAGAAATCGCGCCGCTCTAGGGCCAAAATTGCTGCATGTGAAACACGCTTAACCGCTCATTCACACTGGAAGCGGATCCGCGTTCGCAAAGCGGTTGCGAACGCGGTTGTATAAAGACCCAGTACAATGCCACGCGCACTCGATGACATCAAGTGCGCGCGCAATTGCACTGGATCTTTATACAACCGCGTTCGCAACCGCTTTGCGAACGCGGATCCGCTTCCAGTGTGAATGAGCGGTAAGACCGTTTCATCGATGCGCGTGCGATGATTCGAGCCGAGTATGTTCCACAGTTGCAAAAATAGTCCGTGGAACAGCTATTTGCGTAAAATTGAAATACATGTAACATATATTATGTAACATATATTGAAATATATTAAAAATGGCATTTCATACCTGCAGCCTGTCTCCCTTTTTTTCACTTATTAGCGGCGAGATGTTTTGGTGGTGCCTTCTGATGGTTACCTCTTTTGGTAATATTACCTTGCGAACAACAAGTTGGATGGTGTTTGTAATGGGCATGGTGGAAGCTTTACATCATAGCGCTCTGAAACCAACCGTGCCAACACCGTCAAAATTAAAGTTCTTACATTCCTCTTATTCCTGTCGATGAGGAATCCATTGCGGACGTCATAGACAGGATTCGGCCAATCGTGCAAGGCCGACCACAGCGACGCTTTCGATAGCGCAAGTCGCCAATAGCACCGTCAGGGATTCGGCAAAGCGAAGGCTCATGCTGCAGAAATTGGATATTACTCATGGGTTCATCAATTCTCGCCTCATGCCCGTCTCCATCTAGATGAGCATCGTATATCGGCGTGCGTTTCTGCAATCACTACTGCTTAAAGGGCGCTAAAATCGTACTCTGCCTAAACTGGCTTAATTTATGTAACAGTCTCAACATCAAAGGCAGGCGACCTTTCTTTCTTTAGGCCCTGGACGTTTATTTTTCTACGTATAACTCAAAGCAAATTTAAAATTATACACGTGTCCGTCTTATCAAACTACTTTCAGCCACCCAAATAGCCGTTCTTTTTATTTTCTTCGCTACGAATAGAGGAGGCTTTTTATGTCACCCGGCAAGCTTTTCCTGGACGGTCCCATAAGCTCCCTATTGGACTATAAGAATCAAATGTTCAAGTCCTAAGGTTCTAAACTATTTCTCCATCACGCAATGTAAAACTAGAAAAAGAAAAGACGACTCAAGGAAATGCATTTACGCTCTTTAAACGTTGGTTTTCTGATCGTTTCTGCTTTCTGTTGCTAAGTTTCATTTGATGACCCGTGGGTTTGATAAGGAAGAAAGGTATTTTGTCAAGCAGTTTTGTCCTATCCCCTTCCTTACAATCTCCGCAATAGCGAGAGACGAAAAAACGCAGAACTTCTGAGATGGACCATGAGATGAGTGCGCCTCGACGTCTGCCAGTTCCAGGGTGGAGGCGTTCTTCGTTGCCTATAGAGTGCCGCGACCTCGCGTGCTGATGAGAACGATCGAGCTCTGGGCGGTAAACACCACTATCCAAAACGCAGGACGACAGATGATGTGGCGTCCTGCGCCAAGAACAACTTGCGGGAGCCAGGAGCCGCCGTCCTTTTTCGGCCCCTTCAACCCTTTCGGTCAAAATGGCCTTGCCAATCGTGCGAGAGTGACAATCCTCGTTTCTTCCCTAAGTGAATCGAACCTCGGCGATGGATCGTGAATCCTGACTGACGGAACGACGTTTTGTTTCCCGTTGGATGTACCTATACTCGTTTTCACCTTAAGAAAAAAGTGGGTGTGTCCCTCTCGTCGCATGCTTATTGGTCGCATGCCGTCGCACATATTATTCCCTTCTGCGAAGTAGTTCCGATAAACGTTTGCTCTCTGGGAAGCTAGCGTTATTTAAGCTTAGATAAATTTGTTATGCTTAATAGGATAAATAATACACCTCCTTAGTGCGCGTGTATTGACGTAATTAAACGCCTCACAAGATCAGAGGATCGATGTTTGTAGCCAGCCGGCCAGCCGCTGTTGCTCGCCTTCCAAAATGGCGACTCCAACAACTCTGGCTGATCGGTCTGTGATGTCAGCACTCTTTCCTGAAGACGTTTCCCCTCGGGTGTACTACAAACGTCACGCAAGTGGATATGTCCTGTCGAGCCAGACAAGGCAGTGTGTTTTGAACGTTTATTCTTGGATGCGGCGGCAGTACCAAGAAAAAAATGTGGTGGAAGTCGTCAACCTGACTGCCGCCGCAATGGGGATCAGTGTTGGCTCGGTCTGCGAGATCAAGCATGGCTTCAAACGTGCCAACGGAGCTGTAAAATCTCCTTCAAAGAAGCGCCCGAAATTCGCTGAGAAAAGGAAGAGGATTTCAAATCACTACGCGTGCACTTTGACGGCCGTGAGAAGCTGCCTGCACAATTTCTTCCGTCGGGGGGAGATTCCAACGTTGAAGAAAATCGCCGCTCGTCTCCAAGAAGACGACGTGCTGCCGTCCTGTTCCGGGTCTATCCTGTATCGCCTGCTGAAGGACATGAGTTTCCAGGAACAGAAACGGGATCGCAACTCCTTCCTAATTGAGAGAGAGGACATCGTCGAGTGGGAGGCGGCGGTATTTGAGGGCAGTCGGAAAGCACAGAGCCCAGAAATGCAAGATCTACTTCCAGGACGAGACTTGGGTGAACGCCGGCCTTACAGTTGACAAGGTGTGGACTGACAGCACCATAAAGTCAGCAAGGCAAGCCTTCATGTCTGGACTGACGACCGGGCTAAAGGTTCCTTCTGGAAAAGGTGAAGGAGTGATTGTCACCCACGCAGGTAGTGACACTGGCTTCGTGTCTGGCTGCCTGGACGTGTTCCGTGGGAAGAAAAAGGGGGACTACCACGATGAAATGGACTCCAACAGGTTAGAAGCATGGTTTCTTCATCTGCTGGACCACATCGAGCCTAAGAGCGTAATTGTTATAGACAACGCGCCATACCACAGCAGAAAGGCTGAAGCAGTTCCCACAACTGCAACAAAGAAGGGCGAGATCCAGCAGTGGCTCTCTTCCAAGAACCTATACTGGACTGCCACAATGAAAAAAAAAAAAGACCTTCTGAGCATCGTGGCAACGGTGAAGGATCGCTACACAAAGTACAAAGTTGACGTCATGGCTACGGACGCCGGACACACAGTTTTGAGGCTCCCACCATACCATTGCGAACTAAACCCCATAGAGTTGATATGAGCACGAGTCAAGCAGGAGGTCGCCTCCAAGAGCATCAAATTCAAGCCAAATGACGCCGAGCAGCTCTTGAGGGAAGCGGTGGACAACGTAACAGCTGTCCATTGGCATGACTGTGTAGAGCATGTGAAAAAAATGGAGGCGAAGTTTCGAGAATGTGATGTCCCAGAGTCGAACCTCGAGCCAGTCATCATAACCCTCGATGCAAGCGACACGGAGGAGGAGAGTGGAGACGACGACGAAGCTGACGACGAGGATGAGAATGAAGAGATCTTCAGTGTTCAGCCTTTATAATGGAATTGACCGTGAACTAATGTCCCCCTAGGATATGTTCTCTTATGAAAGTGGTTAGAACTTTGGACCCTGTTTGTCATACCCTAGAACACAGAGCGGTCCTTTTAAGGACCATTCACATACTGCAAAATCGGATTCCCGACTTCATACACGCCTAACCTCCAGTGTCATGTTGTTGTCGTTATTCTACCTTTCATTACGTAATAGCCTTGTTCATGGCTTCTCGAGGTCTTTGAAATCAGCTGTATGTATCCCACTGCACCGTGGATAACCATTACAAAAATTCACCCTAAAAAAAAAGTTTGCAGTTGTACTGCACTCGCTAATTAGCTCCGTTATTGCAGTGATCAGTTCCCCAGGCGGTTTGTGGGAAAGTAAACTCACAAACTGCCATCCACATGCCTTGGGGTCGCTCTGGCAATAAACATATTTCTCATCCAACATGCTGTTTCAGATTATTATCGGGATTCTTATCGCCATCCTCTCACAGGGCCACTCGGGCAACAAGCAGAAGGTTTGATGGGATCCTGGAAGAACGTCTCAGATCAACCACGCTGTTTCTGCTTATAATCAGGATTTGTACCACCATCCCCACACCACGGAACTTAAGAAAACAGAATTAAAGAATAAAAATTGAAAATCGCCGCTACGCGCAAGGAAACCGACTGCTGCACTCAATATATACACATGAACGTCAACGCAATAACGTAAACAAAGGTATATTAGGAGAGAATAAACTATGCAAACATAGGTTAGTGGCTGGTAACAGGTATGATCAATCCCAGTTCATCAAGTTTGTGGCGATGTCGATGATGTCAGCTGATCTTTTTGCTTTAGCGCTCCATGGTTGCCGTTAAAAACTGTAAACACACTAAAACTGGCACACATTGATTTTTTTTTCTCATGTTTTTTTAGAAAGCCGACGGTATAAACAATGTTAGATATACAAAGATATGTTTATTGAAGACAGTTTAAAGAAGCGATGCAAAATTGTGCAGAGCATAAGCATGTTTATCTGAAACAAACGCTATTTAACGAGGTATGTTCTAGCTTTTTGCCACTAGAGGATGCTGCAGTGCTAAATTCGTTTCGGTTTCGGTTTCTAATTGTAGACCCTACCACCTCCCGACGGAGAGTGGTGAAGTCTACGCGATATCGCGGCAGTTCATTGGTGGAAACCCAGAACACTCCGCCACCAGCCGGACTGTTTTCCTTCGGTTCTTAAAGGGACACTGACACCCTACAAAAATGTTTTTTTATTTTTTGCCAGGCGCTTCATTATGGTGTCGGAGGACTACCCAATTAATATTTTGCAACAGAGTAGCGTATTTCTTTAATAAAGCCAAAAGACGCAACTGCTCTAAACCGAAACCGAAACCCGACGGAGGTCGGAGAAGTGGAGAGAAGAGAGTGACTGGCGGAAGTCACGTGGCTACACCCGACCTTGCGTTTTTTTTTTTTTTCTCCTATCCGGTAGCAGACGACACGACATGCGGCGTGCGATGCGGCGTGCGGGAACTGCTTGCCGTGCGATTCTTTTGCAGTTATGTTTGTTCCGCTCGTTGTTCTGTACTCCAAGATGAGTTGTTTTGTACATTGAGGAGTTGGAGATAAGTAGTGAGTGCCCGTGGTGAATTTCCATGATCGGCTCCGAAAAGAATAAACCCAAGATGTTGCGTGAAGAGCTGGCTCACATGTCCTGCATACGAAAAAAAGTGGCATTGTGCGACAGAGTTTCCGAAAGATCAACGGGATCGGGACCAATGGCTGGCTGCAATTCCTGTAGAACATTTACGGGCACCTCGGAAAGCGGACGCTACCTCATTTATATGCTCCTTGCATTTTGTGGAAAGTGATTACATTGAGTTCGCAAGTGTCAAAAAGGAAATCCCATACTATTTAACTCAGCGAAGTGTCGTCCACAGCATTTGTTTGTTATTTTTGTGTTTGTTTCTTTAGTGATAATTGTAAAAAAAAAAAAAAAAAATATGTAAACATCGGAAAATGTTTGAAAAAAAAAAACATGGGGGATCGAACCCGGTCCTACCGCGTGTGAAGCGGACGTCTTTCCCACTGAGCTACTGAGACATCTCGTTTGTGGTGGATCTCTTTCCTTAGTAATAATTCAGCCAGTAAACTGTAAGTTGGAAAGTTTTCTGTCGATTTTTCTCTAGCAAAAGCACTCCCGGGTCGAAGTCGGGAAGCACCACGCTTTGAGGACATTCGCACCTAGTAAAGAAATCGTACGCGTGCATATTCAACTCGAAGTAGACACGTCGTGCTTGACGTTTGCGCGAGCGTTGTCTTCAGCCACGAGAAGGGAGCGACGGCTCGGCGACGTCTTCGCGCAAATTGGCTTGGTGGCCGGGCGTGTCGTACGGGATGAATACCAATTCTTTTGATCAGTCCCAAATTTCTCTTTTAGCGGTAGACAGAATTCGCCGGTATTGCGAGCGACAGTTCTGAAATAGAGGTCCCACGCCCGTCGTCCGCTGCCATCGCCGTCCCCGCGAGTCCCACGATACGCGAAACGACGAACGCACAGAATGCTTCCGGTTGTCTGTGGAACTTTTTTTTTTCAATCAACGTATTTACAGCTTTTTAGAGGCCACAAAAAATGGGTTTCATATTTTTTTCTATTTTTAATATTGAGTGTGTGCCTTCAGTGACCCACGACTTTGATTAAATTTGGTGGTCGCATCGATACCTTAGAAAACGGCCTGTGACCGCGAAAAAGAGAGTGAGCGAGACGCGAACCGGCCAATTCTTGATCGGCGGTTTTCGGGCGGAAAGAAACCGAATTTCGAGCCGCAAATTCCGTTCTGGGTAGTTGAGCTCTCATATGTCACGTACAACTAAAAACCTCGGCGAGCATAAATACCCTGTCAGTGTCCCTTTAAGGTGAAAACGAGTATAGAATTCCGTGTTTTCGGATAAATCCGAAAAACTCCGAAAAATTGTTATGGAGTCGCCGACGGGCCGACGCTCGCGAGCTCCAAATTCCAGGAACCACCATTCGCGCGGAGCCCGAGAGATAAACATCTGTTCCCCGCTTCGCGCGTAACCTGAACCGCCTGAGCGGCCCTTGCCCGACGCGTCTTTCTTTTATTTCGTTTTATCTTTAATAAACGAGAACTCACTCTTCAGCCTGACTCCGGCACAGAAGGTTCTCTGTGTGTTCTCTTCCCCAAAGAAAGTAAAACGAAACATGGTTTCAGAAGTGTGATAGCTCCGCGAGTCTACTAATAATTATTAAAGCGCAGGGTCGACTACAAACGAAGGAACAATGGACATGCCCTCAATTTCTGCCGACAGTTAACGGTGCTACGCAACAATCGGTAACAGCAACTTTTCGCATCTCGCCACCCGAAGCCTTCAGTTTTACAACACCAAATGAATGGCCTGCGTGGTCGAAGAGATTCAAGCGCTTCCGCAGTGCATCAAGACTGGCATCTCAACTATCATCACATCAAGTCGACGCTCTCATTTACATCATGGGAGACAAGCTGAAGACATTTTACAGGTCTTCAAGCAGTCCGACACTGAGGCTCAAGACTTCGACAAAGTGATGCCCTATTGAAAAAACCAGCAAGGATTTCAAGCTGGGCAAGCTGGTTTAGCTGGTTTTTAAGCTGGTTCGAGCTCGTTCGTGCTGGTTCAAGCTGGTCTAGGTAGTAATCAAGCTGGTTCAAGCTGGTTCGAGCTGGCACTGCAGCTGGGCAAGCTGGTTCGAGCTGGTACTGAAGCTGGTTCAAGCTTGTCAAGCTGGTTCAAGCTGGTTCGAGCTGACACCGCGGATGGGCAAGCTGGTATTTGAGTTGGTTCAAGCTTGTCATGCTGGTTCAAGCTGGTTCTGAATCTGGCCTAAGCTGGTTCAAGCCGGTCTTGCTGGGAGCGCGCACGCCAAGGTCGGCGAGAGCTTGTCGAACTGGCATTGCCGGGAGCGCGCGCGCCAAGGTCGGCAGGGGGGGGGACGATGCCCCGTCCTTTCTTTGTCCTCTCGTTTTTGGTGGACGACCGGGCGCTTCAGGCACGCTGCGAGCTTCCTTTGTGTGCGAGAAAAGAGAGAGAGTGAGTGGTAGGAACGGAGAATTTGAGACACGTTTGGCTATCTTGGACAGATTTTCGAAGGGACGGCTGTGTGCGCGTTGTTTGGCGACTACTTGAACGGCGGCGCGAGCGAAGCGGGATTTAGGGAGGCGGCGAGCGGCAGTCCGTTCAGCGCGGGAAGAAATCGGATGCCCCGACGGAGGCGTCGTTTCGTGTCTTCGAACATCCGTGTGCTCGTGAATACGGTGGTGCCGAGGAGTTTCGCCAATGCCATCCAAGCCACACGGATTTCCTCGCCTCTGCCGACTACGCAAGAGGACGCTTCGCCCCCATTACGGGCGGGACCCAGGTTCGCTTTTCTCATCTGTGTAGTATTTTTTATTGTTATTGCCTGTTTTTGGCGTGTGTCTAGTATTTTTCGTGTTGAGAGATAAGCAGTCTAGTTTTAATAGCATTGTTAGTTTTGCACCGAGAACCGCTATCTGTGCGCCGGTTAGTACTGTGTCAGCGCAGTGGATGTATAGCATCTGAGCTCATGTGCAGACCGCAAATACGAAAATAATAAATTCAATGCCGAGCTGGCTTTTCTGAAGAGTTTGGCTTGTTTATCGTGTGTATTCATTTAAACTGGTTAAAATGGTGGGGAAGTAAACCAGCAA